AATTAAGTGAAAAATAGTACTTATTTAGGTGAGCTATTTCTAAAAGGCTTTTCCTTAATTCTCTTTCACTGTTTACTGTAACACAATATAAGTCTAACTTAAATAGTTGTTGTTTAATCCTTTTAGGTAAGCCAGAGAAAGACCTATTCTCAGGAATCTTCCATTTTGCAAAAAAGAAAGTAGGAAATTATTAGCAAATAATGCCCTAATAAAATATATTAGTAGTCCAATTCATGTATATTCCTCAGGGTATGGTCAAAGGAAATAAATCTGATGGATAATCTTCCATTGTTTATCTCATACCCTTTCTTTATTCCAGGCAAAGCTGACAGTGGGCCCTAATGGTCTGAAGGAATTACCTTTCTCCCTAAGTACCTAATTTGTTACAGGGAATTGTATTAGCTACATAGAAGAAAGTAACTTTTTATATAAGATTACTACTAAAAGAAAAATGTAAGGCTGCCATATTGCTTAATATTATAGCTTATACTCATTTGAGATATCTTTGAGAGCTATTAATAATTTTTAAATGAAGATACCAAAGCTGAGAGACGTTAACCTATTTGAGTGAGATCACAGGGTCTGAATTTAAAACTTGGAGTTTATGATTTCCTGTGTACACCTTCTAGTTCCTTACATTTCAGTACAGTTGTGCTCAAAGAGGGGCTGATGGGCTTACACAGTTCAGATATACTTCCCTGGAGCTCTGGGTCCTCACTGCTTAAGGTTGGAGGCTTCAGCTCAGGACCCTGTTCTGAAGTCCCCAATTCTTGGTGCCAACATAACCCAACATGGTGATGTTTCCAACAGCAGTCCTTTAGATTTCGTCAATCAGTTCATATGTTGGCACTGCAATATGGCGATGAATCCCAGCCAGATGATTGGAAGGTTCAAAGGTGAAATGAATGGACCAGATCAAAAATCTGGATGTAATTCTTTATGGTAGGCCCAGGAATACCTGAGGGTTCAAAAACAATACCATTTTGTGGACCTTTAGTTTGGTCAAGATTCACTTGGTTCCACACCCTGGCATTTGCCTTTAAAGTTGGGTTCTCCAGCTCACTGTTGGTTGGATATCAGTGGGTACCAAGCTGCATGAAGAGCACAATACAATGACGTCTTCCCGCTTTGCATGGCTGAGAAAGTCTTACACTCCTCAGCACAAGATAATTACATACTTTGTCTTCATTGTGTCTCTAAGAGTACAAATATCTGCAAGCAGCATCTTTGTTTAGGTCTTCTCTTCATGACTTCTGGTGAGGTTCAGGGTTTATTCTGAAAACTCTCCTCCCAGCAGAAAACAGCATTAGCAACAGAGAAACTTCCTGAACATGTTCAGCTAGACTAGACCAGAGGTTTTCAAATTGTTTGAAAGGGGGATGCCTCAAGTGGGAAGTGGTAGTTACAGACACACACACACACACACACACACACACACACACACACACACACACACACACTACAGCTTCCCCCAGAGCAGTTCTGCATTTAGCTAAAATAATATTTGGAAACCACTTCATGAAGGTAGTATAATGTAGAAGATGCCAGACCCTGGGGCCTGACTGCCTGGCTTTGAATTCCAGCTGTGCCATTTTCTATGTGGTCTCTAAACAAGTTTTTTTTTATTTGTTTGTTTTTTTAATTCTCTGGGCTTTAGTTTTCTTATCTAAAAAATGAGGGTTATATAACAACAGTACAGTCCTCAAAGAGTAGAAGTGAGGATCAAATGAGCTTATACATGAAAAGCACTTTGAACCGTCTCTGGTACACCGAAAGCATTTAATAAATGTTAGTATACATAACAACAATTATTATTATTGCTACTATTACTGTCATGTTGGATTGAGATTTCAAAACATTAAATACCAAAGTATAAATATTAATTACTGTCCTAAGCAGCACTTATGAGAGAAAGAATTTTCTTGCAGTGTGTAGGAAAGCTGCAAAATTTGGCACTCTAAGCTGATAAACTGAGAATGTGACTTGGGTACTGTTCTAGTATAATGAGCATTTGTGGCTCTTCAAATCTCTAATAACTTACATTGATCTACCTTGATGTTTGCATGTGATATGTGATGTAAGTGTGAAGATATTCAACTTGGTAAACTAAGGAGCAAATGCCCTCCATTTCACACTTAACGAAATTTAATTTCTGTCTTCAGTAGTTTAATACCTATATTGATACAGCATTAATAGAGTAGAAATGAAATCTTAGGTGTTTTTATTCTGGTTGCATTTTAGAAACTAGACTCATTGAACAATAAATAAAAAACTACAGATAGTTATTGTGGCTGGCAAATTTGATTGGACTACCATATTTGGTATATAGAAGCCTGATTCAACATATATTGCAGACCTCTGGACGTCAGAAAATACATCTGCATTTGACATTTCTGATCAGATAAAAGGACTCAGAGAGTCTTCATTCTTAAAATATATTTAGTTTTTTCTTCATTTCTACAGAAATTTTACTTAATTTCAGAGTCCATTCTTATATTTCAGTCGTATGCTTACCTGTAGGTTCAAGTTTTACAGAATTCCTGGAGTATTAAGTCGTTCAGTTGGCTGAATTTTCATCTCTGGAAGGAAGGAGAATAATAAAAACAAACACAGACATAGCATTTACTTTGACCCAGGTGGTATTTTAGATGCATTCTTTCATAAGAGAGGAAGAAACTGATGCATAGAATGGTTAAGTGCCGTTCAGGGTGCCACAGCTCAAGGAACCAAGATGAAAGCCAGGCAGACTTGCTCCTGAGTCTTGGTTTTTAATCACTTTGTTATTCTGCATCTTGCAAAAAAATAAAATATCTAGATATACATATAGATGGGAAGATGAATTTTTTCCAGTCATCCAGTTATCTCAGTCTACAATTATAATAACTGTAGGTGTTGTAGGTGTATTAGTAATGCTTTCTCAGTCAGTATCTAAATAGTTTGACCAACGTGAAAATTCCATTTGCAATTAAAGAAACGTTTAAAAGAATTCTACTAATGCTTTTGAGCCCCTAGTTATATTTTAACTCTTTTTCTCACTTCATTCCCATTAAATGAAACGTTATAATTAATTCTTGTTTTCTTCCTGACTTTTATATAAATATTTCTCCTGTAGTTTTAGTTAATTATAGTTATTGCTGGACACTTCTGGTGAGTAATGATCCCTCACCAAAATAAGAAATC